ACGACCAACTCGGGATACGCCCAGAGTCACGGAACGGATTAAGTTCGTATCCCGAGGTACCACTGTATTTAATATGGCCCACCTTCTGGCACACGTATGCACAAAAATGCTATTGGGTAGCAACTTTTGGAAGGGCCAAGGGGACCCATCCAAGATTTCCAGGGGCCAGGCTGGGCATGCCCGGGAGCTGTCCTACTGAACACTTATCCTGGTTCTGCCTCTCCCGTGTGCCTTTAAACCAAAAAGGCAGGAAACGTAACGGCTTCCTGAAAGGCGCTGCACAACACAACACAATGGCTCAACACAGCGACACGCCCGGCGCTCAGCACCCTACCTGGAGGACATAAGCTACAACACTTGTGGATGTTTTCTTCGTAGTACTCTCCGCCCGGGTTGAGGCAATGAGGCGCCTGAGACGGGCTGTAAGGCAGCACGTACGCCTGCAGAAGTCAGAAGAGAAATCGGTTAGCAAGCAGATGGCTTTTCCCACTGCCCCCGCTCCCTCCCCGGCTGCGAAGAAGCAAGAGGAAATTTCTCCACTGGCTTTTCCGTAGCTCACGTTTCCTCCAAACAAGGGTTTGACCGCCTTAAAAACTTTCCATTTTCCCTCCTTCTTTTCTTCTCTCAAGGACTGGTTTCTGATTCAGGTCTTTTTCTCCCAAGGAAAGATTTGTGTATACTTCTGGAAACCTATCACAAACTTCTGATATCCCCTCCCTTGCTCCTTGATGCATCTCTCCTGGCTCCCATCTTGGAGCGGTCAGGAGCACACTGCAGCCTCCCGGTCTCCTGGAAGCAGCTGTCTGGTCACAGGGCGGCATCACCAGGAAAGGTGAGGTGCCAGGGGCCACATGAGGCCTCTGGCTTGCCCACCCATATGTTAGGAGCGTTGCTTTGCATTGCAAAGCTCCAAGGCTCAAGCCCCAGGATGTCCAAGCAGGTAAAGGCCTTAAGATGCTGGAGAACTGAAAGGTGAGGAGCAAACCTGGGTGGTTCTCAGACCAGACAGCACCTTCAGGTAAATACGGAGCTGGCGTCTTCCAGTCTCGTGGCTAGGAAGAGAACAGCTCAATTTCCACGGACATGAACAACAGGGGGAAACTGCCTAGAATTTAAACTCTAAATGTAGCTCGATTTCTCTGTTTTGCAGTACGCAGATCTTCTGCACGCGTACGGTTTCTATTTCTGTCAGCAAGAAAGCAGCTGACCAGCTAAGCCGGGCTGGGTCTGTGTGCTTCTGCTGTAAGAAAGATCCTGAGGACAGGCAAAATGTCTGAAGCATTTAAATTCATTGCAACCTCAGGGGTGAAGTTTGCCAGGAATAACGGTAGGCAATTTTTATTTTATTGTATTTTTTTTGCAACCAAGGACTGACTGCACCTTTATTTCTGCATTTTTTAAAAAAGGACTTCAAAAGCTGCAGAGGGTGAACTGGGAATTCACTGTAAGTATTGCAGGAAAAGAGATGAGTTCGTTTAGGGTAGCCAAAAACCAGGAGGAGTTTGGTAGCATTTTTTCTGACAAACACATTTTATTCAGAGCTATCAAGAGCTGCAGTTACTGCCTCTTGAATAAAATGCGTTGGTTGGAAACAGTGCTACCAGATTCCTTCTGCTTCATCGCTGCAAGTGTCACCAAAACGTACATTTGCCCCATTTTAGCAAGGAAATTAAGGGGAAAATTGTGCCCCTGAATTTCAGGATTACAACCTAGCAATGTTCCAGTGTGCAAAACATGGATGCTGAGGAGCTATGGACTGCACATCCTTCCAGGAGAACATCATCGTCAACCTTATTATTAAACCAATTTATATAGCTGCCCATCTCACCACAGGCGACTCTGGGTGGCGTACAAGAAAGCTAAAAACAATCAATCAATACATTAAAATATAAAGAACAAAATAAAACAGAGAATAAAAAGATGTTAAATATTTATTTCTTATTATTCAACATCGACCAATCACAGCAGACTTGTTCTAAAAATTGGGGGTTGGGGAAGAAAAACTGGATAAATTGGACTATTGTTCTACAAAATGGGCTAGATTTATATTGACAGAGGCACCTTGCCTTTTGGAAGAACCCCTAAGTGGTGCCAAACCCCGTTAAGGTAAATCCCACAGTTCCAAATTCTATCTTAGACTACCCAAATATGCCCACATGCCCTCCAGCAAAGACAAAGGGGTTGGAAGGAGATTGTGCATGGAAGTTTCCTAAATTAAAAGATGTTGTTTGGAAAACTGCATCTTACCAACCACGAATGCATTAAGTGGGTTATTGTGATGGAATGGTTTGGTGAAGGCCGCGCTTGGGGAGATAAGCATTTCCTTGGCCCCCAGCAGGAGCGTGGGAAGGTTAAGAAGATGAGACTGGCACCAGCCTAAGGAATTTGCGGTGTTTGCTTGCTGGCTTGGAGAGTTTAGATTCAGTCTGGCAAGATTTCTGTCTTGTAGGTGAAAGCTAATAAATGCTATAGAACTGTATCTGTACTGTCTTGTGGAGTTCTTTGGGCTGAACCTGACATCAATCTCTTCAGACTGC